TCCTTACCCAGCCATGCTATACTATGTTTCATCTCTTTTTGCTTCCTGTGATGCGTGGCTTGTAACTCTTTCTCCTTCTGGCACAGAGTTCAGTTTTCATCCTAAATCCATTCTGTATAGTGATGATCTTATTTACAGGCAAAGTACTTCAACTTTTCTGGGCCTCTTCAGTAACCAGTGTGGCAGCAAGCATCTGTAACATCTGAATGATGTTGCTTTTCTATGAAGGAGGAACAACAAGATTCAAAAGAAAAGTTTCTCTAGGGTGACAGCCTTGGCAGCTGGCTGGAATGCTAAAAAAAGGAAAAAAAAAGGGCGAAAAAAAGCAAAAAAAAAAAAGCAGAAAAAAAAGCTAGGAAACAAAGTGATTTAACTCCTTTGGGGAGAGGACACCAAAAAGAAAAAACTAGAGCAATTAAGCAGTAGTGCAAACACTAGAATGTGAGTTGCATGTGGTGAAGCTGCAAAGAATGAATATATAAAAGTTCGTACCAAATCTGAGTATGCAGTGATGTTACAGTTAGCATAAAAGAAGCTGTCTGGCCAATCTCATTCAGTTTCTGTGTTTCTTTTTAGATACATCTGTACAGTTCAAAGAGAAAACATTTCATGTCCTAAATCAAATAACATAAAAGTTATAAAAATGGAATTGCTATTGTTTTTGTTATCCTGCACAATGACATTATACAAAAGAAGTTTCATAATAACAAAATGAAAAATGTTCTCCCTGTTCTTACCTTACTTGTTAATGTTAGGCTGTGAACTTAAACACCTAGATTTAACAAGAGTTTGTCTTTTGGTATTGGCAGTGCCTTTTTCTTGTCCTTTCTTGCAGTTGATTAAATGAGCAGAGTATTCCATATTTCCTGAACCATGTTATCCAGTGCTTGTGGATAAACTGTTAACATTAGTCTAAAAGCCTTGTGCTAGTTCAAACAATTTACATAAAACTGATAGAAGCACAGTTGCATATGTGATGTCAAAGTTCCTTATTCTATGTGTCTACATGTGTTTTGAAACATTTCTACCACCTTTGATGCAGAAAGGTTTTGATTTTTTTTATTAGAAAATTCTGATATTTCTGTTCTATGGTGGAATAAGACATGTTTCTCTCGGTTTCATACTGTGAACAAGGGAACTGTAACTGCAGTGTCAAGTTTCACCTTAGCAAGCCCATTTGCTATTTATTTATTTATTTATTTATTTATTGTCTACTAAGTAAGCAGGCTTTGAACTGGCATCTAAGTGATTTACTGGAAAGTCCCCTTTTAAAGTTGTCTTGCACAACATAATCTTGATAGGAATTGGGAGTTTATTATATAAAGTACTGCTAGAATATGTTAGCTGCTTGAAGACATGAGGGACATGGAGCTCCTGGAGTGGCTCCAGTGAAAGACAATAAAGATGATTAAGGGACTGGAGCACCTGACTTATGAGGAAAGGCTGAGGGAGCTGGGCCTGTTCAGCCTCAAGAGGAGACAACTGAGAGAAGACCTTGTTAATGTGCACAGCTACAGTTTGGGTGGGGAAGTAACTGAAACCAGTAGTGAGAAGGACTTAGGAGTGACAGTGGATGAGAAGCTCACCATGAGCTGCAGTGTGTGCTCCCAGCCCAGAAAGCCAGTTGAATCCTGAGCTGCATCAAAAAGAGTGTGGCCAGCAGGTCGAAAGAGGTGATTCTTCCCCTCTGCTCTGCTCTCATGAGACCCCACCTGGAATACTGCGTGCAGTTCTGGTGTCCTCAACATAAGAAGGACATGGAACTGTTGGAGCAAGTCCAGAGGAGGCCACAAAGTGGAGAAAAGAACTGGAGCATCTCTTCTATGGAGACAGACTGAGGAAGTTGGAGCTGTTCAGCCTGGAGAAGAGAAGGTTGTGTGGAGACCTCATAGTAAATTTTCAGTAGCTGAAGGGCTTACAAGGGAGCCAGAGAGGGACTGTTCGTTAGGAACTGCAATGATAGGACATGGGGTAACGGTTTCAAATGGAAAGAGGGCAAATTTAGGTTAGATATTAGAAAAAAGGTTTTTCCTGTAAGTGTGGTGATTCACTGGCACAGGTTGCCTGGGGAAGTAGTGGCTGGGGCAAACCCCGCAAGGTTCAAAACCC